CGTTCTCTGTCAGTTTTCTCACTCCATTTGGTGCTTGGCTGAGTTCTTTATCTCTTCATTTGATGTTTTAGGGTTTCAGGATTGTTGTATTCTCTGTTCAGCTTAGTTTTTCGGATCTTTGCTGTGGAGGGACGGCGTGGTGCTTCTGCCTAGAGCGCCATTTTGCCAGAACTCTCCCTTCCTAATCTCTTGAAGAATTCTATGTATTAATCTTCTGTATTCTGCCTCTGGTAATTCCAAGAAATTTTCCTCCTCTGGAAACTTTCTAGATTATTTTGGGAGCTTGCTGAAGCCATCATGGACTACCTCTTTATGTGATTTGATATTGACTGTTGTCTCTGAGCCATCAATAAGTTATTTATTTATTTTATGTTTGCTTACTGTGTCCTAGCTTCTTATTTTGATATGCCCAAATAGGCTGATCGTATGAGCTAGTTTGATTATTGGCACCTTTGAAGCTCTAATGTCCTGTCACCAGGTGGTTAGATCTGTTACTAGGTATGTGAGCTCAGGAGCCTGCCCACTCCTCCGGTATGGATTCAGCTCTGATGCCCAGGTGGTTAGCCACCAAGTGTGTGGTGCAGGCTTTCACCTACAGTACTAGACAGGCATGGGTGATGTAAGCACAGGCATCTGGCTGCAGCAGGAGGACACACTCTGAGCAAGACAGGGCTGACGGCTGCCCCCGAGTGTCCAAGAGGAAGGTGTGTCCCTGTTCACTAGAGCATGTAGGTGGGTAGGTTTTGCAGCCAGACTGTCAACACCCAGTGCTGTTGGCTGTTAGGACTCGGGGGCACCTCTTATTCTCGGGCCCCTGTTGCAGGTGGCTAGGTAGCATGTTTGGAGCCACCAGTCCTCCGGCCCCAGATGTGGGTAGGTGAAGACCCTGCTTAATGGGCAGAGCAGTGTCAAATGTTAAGAACCTGGCACTTCACAGCTGAAACGGTTGAAGTTAGACTTCAGGTATATACCCTGTTGTACCATGCTAATGAGGGCCTATGCTGTTGAAATGGGCCCACACAAGTCTCTGCAGGGGGAAAGGCACTCAAAGTCCGTGGCTCCCTTATGCTTGTGCCCAGGCAAAGGAGCTGTGCCTACCCTGAGTTCCTAGCTTAGGGAAGCCGGCAGTTTATTTTTTCCCATTTGTTAATTTGTTCACTCTCCAAGGCCGAGAGAATGGCTCAGGGCGTGTGATGGATCCTGCTTCCGCCCGGGGACTCAGCAATTGCTAAAGCCCATCTGGGACCCAGTGAAGAGCAGGGAGTGGGGAGGGAAATGGGAGAGAGGTTTTTCCCTAAGAGGGGTGTTTTTGATCTATGCGATAGGCTGGACGCAGTACTTATTTTTCACCGATCGAGGGCTGCTTCTCACTGGTTCTGGGTGGCCAAGTAGACTTTCTGCTGCTGGGTCTCTCTCGGTGCAGAAAATGCCTCTCGAGCACCGCTGCTTGCCTGCCTCACCGCTTACTGATGAGCTGCTCAGGCTCTCACCGGGTCAGGTCTGGCAACTCCTCGCTGCTTCCAAACCATCTCTCTACCCCATTGCCAGTCAGTCCAGTTCCTCAACTTTGCCTTTGATGTTCAGGGCTCCTAGATTGTCATATATAATCGATTCACTTGTTTTTTCAGCTCTTTGTTGTAAGAGGGTCCACTAGAAGCATCTGACTACTCCACCATCTTGGCCCTGCCTTCTCTTAGAGTAAATGAGAAGAGATCCAGAATGGTTTAGTTTTTCAAGCGTGGGCCTTATAATCTGCTAATCACTTAAATATATATTGGAATTTCTAATTGGCCTTAATAGTTAGGGTCCCATCTTAAAGTACATCTGTTGGGTATCTTATATTACTTTGGAAAATCTCCATATTCTGCTAATTGCATCAGTAAAGGTTTATTGTTTCCTATAAAGTGTTTTAATGACTTTTTATTAGTCTTAGATTCATTCATTTTTTTGTAGTTTATTATATTCATAATTCTCTATCAAAATTCCTTTAATAATCACTAGTTTATACATATGCTAAGGGTAGAAATGCTGAGGGTGATTAAAATATACTTCTGGCATCTTTCCCTAGGCCACAGTGGCTCAAAATGAATATGTTCGAACTCTTGGAAAAAGGTTACAAAGAACCCAACCTCAATGTGCAGGCATTTCTGCTTGGGCCCACAACTGCTCAAATTTCATGGATATTTGTTATTAATAATGATGATGATGATGATGATATTAAAAAATAATAACTACTAACTGTTAATACCACAGGAGAAAGATGTAGCGGTCTGCTTCCTTAAAAGATCACAGCCTCGGAAACCCTATGGGGCAGTTCTGCTTTGTCCTGTAGGGTCACTATGAGTCGGAATTGACCAGACAGCAGTGGGTTTATTATGTACCATGTGGAGGAGCCCTGGTGGCGCAGTGGTTAAGAGCTCGGCTGCTAACCAAAAGATCAGCAGTTCGAATCCACCAGCTGCTCCTTGGAAACCCTGTGGGGAAGTTCTGCTTTGTACTATAGGGTCGCTATGAGTCGGAATGGCAATGGGTTTGGGTTTTTTTTGTTGTTGTTGTTAGACACTATGATAAACACATTAAATACAGAAAGTATCTCAAGTTAATCCTCTCAACAATCCAGTAAGGTAACAATGCCATTTTTATTCTATAGATGAAGACATTTGTGCTCTATAGATAAGAGGATTTAAAAGATTAAATAATTTACCAGGGCCACACAGATGTAACAGGCAAAGCCTGAATTCACACCCAAATTTCAGACATGAAAGTTCTTACTCCTGCTATACCTGTGGTTCTCAAAGTGTGGCCTGAGAACCCCAGAAGTTCTCTGGGGCCTTTTTCTGGAATCTAAGAAATTCTCCCCTGTCCAGTTACATACTCATGTGAGGCCAAATTTTCTTCTATACTTCAGCAAACCAACATTGCAACAGACTGAATGCAAAAGCACGTATGAGGATTCATCTGTGTTTCATTAAGCCAGACATTAAAGAGATTTGCAAAATGTAAAACAAGGCATTCTTCTTCCTAAGTGTTTGTTTTATTTTGGAAAGCATAGTTATTTGTCATAAAAATATGTTATTTATGTTACCATGCAATTAATTTATTATTTTTTAAAAATAACTTCATGTATAAATATTTTTTAAATTCTCAGTTGTAGCTTCTAATTTGTTAAATATTGATATATGTAACATATGTAAACAAAAGCTCTTAGGGACCCTCAATAATTTTAGAGTATAAAGGGGTCCTGAGACCAACATGTTTGAGAACCACTGTATTGTACTATACTGTTTCTGCTGGGCTTCATGCTCTAAACTGAGCTTCCTTTTGTGTTCATAGTCTAAGGATTTATTTGCTGCTTTTTTCTTCTTTGCCCCAGTTTTTGCAGAGTTTAACATTCAATTATTCTCTTCCTTAGATAGGCAGAGCCACCTCCCTGCTATTTAAAGTAAAAAGTCTATTTTCCTAGTGCCACTTATAAAAAACAAAACAAACAAAAAAACCATTGCCGTTGAGTCAATTCCAACTCACAGCAACCCTACAGGACAGAGTTGAACATCCTCTTATAGTTTCTAAGGTTGTAATCATTAGTCTGTGTGGGACTTCCCCTGGAAGGTCAGCCTTCCTGACAGTGATTGACTAAGGGTACCCAGGCATATTTATTAATAATAATAACAACCATAGCTAACATTTGTGAGCACGTACCATGTGCCAGGCACGGTGCTGAGCTTTAAACTGTGCTCCACAGAGTACTTCCTCACAACAGTTCTGTAAGGTAGATAATACTATTATCCCTATTCTACAGATGGGAAAACTGAGGCTTAGAGAGGTTAAGAGGTTAACCTTTCTAACCATATAGCTAAGAAGTGGCAGAGGCAGCTTCTGAATCCCCACAAGTAGTCAGGCTTATGTGTTTAGATAAAGCCTGAAATTCCTGTTGCTAAAAATGGCTTCACTGGAGCTTGTACTTCTCTGATATACCAAGATCATGACTTCCTAAGACCACTATTTCATTTTGATTCCCCTTTACTCTATACTTAAAACACAAGGATTTGATCCATGTTTCCTAATACACAACCCAGTTCACAAAGCTCCTAGTGTTTTTAGATCCTTGTCTGACATAAAGAAGCCTTTACCATCAAAAGAACAAGAAACCCTTTCATTGTGATGAGACACTGTCCTAAACAGTGAAGGTGGAGTGGGAAAAATTCCTGTGGAACTGAATGTTGAAGTAGCTGGTCTTGGGATCTGGCATAGGGGCAAGGGAATCAGATCCCGCTCAGTAGAAAAAATGAATTGGGGCATAAAATGCTCTTTGTATGTTACTAACGGGTTCTGTAGCAGCTGTGTTATTGTGAATGTCTTCCACAGTTCTGAAAAAAAGTACTGCTCTGGCACTGGGTGGCCTTTATTTTCTGAGGCTCATGGTACATCTGGCTGTGATGAAAGTAACACTGGGATCCTGAGACGTCTGGACACTTCATTAGGATTGGCTCACACAGAGGTTGTCTGCAAGCAGGTGGGTTTTTTTGTTTCATTTTGTTTTCCCTAAGGCTATCTCAGGTGTCACAGAGAGCTCTCTTGTCCTTAGCATATCCAGTGTTATTCCAAGGGGTACATTTGTCATTAAAAGACATTGAGATTCAATTCATACTGATAATGATCCCCCTCTCTCCCCTAATTCTGAACACTGTAGATAAAAGGGCTTCCTGAGCCCCTCTCTGAAGTGGCCTTTCCTAGTTCTAGCCATCCATGGAGGTGGGAACAGAGTTAGGATCCGAGGGAAAGAGTTGGCCCTTCACATTCTTGTAAGTAGGGGTAGGTTAGCAGGAAGGCCCAGGGTGGTTGGTATCAATCCAGCTTCTTCCTTGGTCTGCAGTGCCTCACTAACAGGCAGAGCAATCCTCAGGGCATAGCTCCTTCTGCGAGCCTTCTGTGAGAGAGTGGCTTAAATCCAGACAGAAAACTTATCTTGATATCCTTGAGTGCTCAAATTTTCTGACTCAACCAGTTGCTGTTAAGTCAGCTTCAACTCATGGCAACCCCATTTGTGTGAGAATAGAACTATATTCTGTACACTTTTCAATGGCTGATTTTTTTGGAATTATATTGCCAGGCCTTTCTTCCGAGATGCCTCTGGGTGGACTCAAACTCCCAGTCTTTCAGTTAGCAGCTGAGTGCGTTAACTATTTGCACCACCCAGGGACTCCTTTCTGACTCATTAGTTTTGCAAAACACCAGAGGCAAGCAGATAAAGACATCATAGTCTTCCGTTCGTAGTCTTGCCTTCAATTAAAAATACTAACACCCTGTCTTAGTCATCTAGTGCTACTATAACAGAAATACCACAAGTGGATGGCTTTAACAAAGAGAAGTTTATTCTCTCACAGTCCAGTAGGCTACAAGTCCAAATTTAGGGCATCAGCTCCAGGAAAAGGCTTTCTCTGTCGGCTCTGGAGAAAGGTCCATGTCATCAATTTTCCTTTGGTCTGGGAGCTTGTCTTCACAGGAACCTCAGGTCTAAAGGACGCACTCTGCTCCTGGCACTGCTTTCTTGGTGGTATGAGGTTCCCATGTGTCTCTGTTCACTTCTCTCGTATTTATATCTCAAAAGAGATTGGCTTAAGACACTATGCAATCTTGTATACCTCATCAGTATAACTGCCGCTAATCTTATTACATCATAGTGATAGAGTTTACAGCACATAAGGAAATCACATCAGATTACAAAATGGTACACAATCATACAATACTGGGAATCATGACCCAGCCAAGTTGACAGATATTTTTGGGGGACAGAATTCAATACACGACACACCCTAACTACAACTAATATGTGTGCTTACTATATACTTCAAGAACTGTGTAATGATTTACATGCATTATGTTGTTACTGAACCTGAAAAGGTGGGTCCTTGTCCACCGTGCTCAGACTTGCCAGTTATCTGGACACCGTTCTTTGAGAAAGAGAAAGTAACTTTATTGCAATGCACAGAGCAAGGAGCCGGGAGGAAATTCCTCAGATCTGGCTCCCTGAGCTATGGGGAAACAGGGCTTATATAGGATTTGGGCAGCAAGATGGTGGCTGTGAAGGTGTACTGGAGAGGGAAAATTCTAGAAGGTGGCCAGGAAGCAGGAGGCGATATGGTTCTTGTTGGACCTCTCACTTCAAAATAGGGTCTGAGTGATGATTTTCCTTCTGATTCATTCCACCTGTTGCTGCGTCCACTGTTGAAGTTAATTAGTGGTCACAGCTGGCCCTTCTATGCATCCAGGGCAGGCCAAACTGGCTTGTGCTAGTTTAAGGACTAATGGAAATTTACTGGTATTCATAGGGTCACGTTACAGTGTCAATCATCACAGTAGCCCTATTATGTAGATATGATTATTATCCCATTTTATAGATGAGTAAACCAAGACTCAAGTTAAATAACTTGTTCACATTATCACTGGTAAAGTAGAGGTATTTACCACTACTGTACTCTGCATTCTTTCATTTCTTAATCAAATTTTAACACAATAACAGTCTTCCCCTCACAAATGTCAAGCACTAGAGTGGGGTGCCCATGTGGATTTCATGTGTCTGGTTTTATGTAAAGAGCTTTGCTTCATCTGAAGAACTAACAGGCTTTTCTCCTTTTCAGTGTGAAGCTCATCTTGGCCGTGTATTTCCTGATGGACCTGAGCCCACTGGTCAGAGGTTTTGCATCAACAGTGTGGCTCTGAAGTTTAAACCAAGTAAACACTGATTATCTCAAGAGCCCCTTTCTCTTCCACTCCTTCATTTACATCCTCAATTTTTAATGCATATAAATGATTCATTTTATTTACAATAGCAAGGCAAGCTTGCTACTGTCACCAAGAGTGTCACGGCTTCTCTTATTTATCTGTCTTGAAGCAGATCAACCCTGACTTCTGCTTTGACTGTGGTATTTCACAAAATGATGGAGGGATAGCTATTGGCTGCTGTAGGCTTTGCCTGGAACAAAAGAGTATGATTCTTTGGGGACCTAGGAGGTTGATGGACTAGTAAGCCAAAAATTTCCTCCAAAATGTCCCTCAACTTCCCACTGCAGTTAAGTCCTTCATGGACATGCTAGGTGAGGGATCAAGTGCAAAGAGGTAGGAAAATCAGTATGGGATCAGGGTAATCAAAATCTTAGCTTTGAAAGAGGCATCAAAGTGTAGGGTTGTGGGAGAGCTGTGCTTTGGGAGACACATATGGTCATCAGTGGGATGCATGACTTTTTTGAAATTTTAGAATGTTTTGAACATTCTAGTTCCAAACTTTCTACCCACAAATAAGCTCCAATGGGAGCTTTTTATATTTCAGTGATAATGAATGATATTCACCCTCATCCCTTTTGCCTAGAAAGATAAACTTTGAAATGTTCAAATAAAATTTTTACTGGAATTTGTTTGATTTTTGTCTAAGTCTGTATTTACTCTTTTATAAAAATGACACTAAATCAAAATGACAAAAAATGGTTAGATCACATGGTAGTAAGCATTTGGCTATACCAAGACTTGGCAACTCAGGTGTTTTACATATTGAGAGACTTGATTAATTTGTTACTGGAATTGTTTAAATCATTCTCTTTGAGACTTTATGGGTAGAAAAAAACTTAATTATTCCATTTTCTCTCTATTAATTGGTTAGTTGTGCATTGTTTTATTATTCTTTTAGTGATTACCCTGGAAATCACCATATGCATTTTTAACTTGCACAGTCATTTACAAATGACTACTTTTTTCTGCTTCTCCAAGAATGCTAATCTTAGAACATTTTAACACCATTAACTCCTTCCCAGAGCTTATATTATTATTGTTATATGTTTATTTTTACATATAACTTTAAACCCCATAGTTCATTATTTGTAATGTGTATAATCCATATTAATTTATATTTACTTATATATTTAGACTTCCTGTTTCTGTTTGTTTCTTCCTACAATTCTCTGCTTCCCTATGTGTGATGGTTAGTGTTATGTGTCAACCTGGCTAGGCCATGATTCTCAGTATTATGTAATTATCCTCCATTTTGTGGTCTGATGTAAGGGGAGCTTCCTTGGGGTATGGCCTGCATCCAGTACATATGGATGTTCTGGCAAAGTTCGCTCCCTCTCGATCCTGCATCTGACTCGTCATCCTCTGACCTCCTGTCTTGGGATGTGAGCCAGCAGCCTGCCGTCTGACCTGCCGATTTTGGGTTCATTAGCCCCTGCAACCGCGTGAGTTAGAAGCCTCCAGCCTGACGCCTGACCATGGATTTGGGACTTGCCAGCCTCCACCACTGTGTGGGCCATTTCCTTGAAATAAATCTCTGTCTACATATATATTTTTTAATATATGCGCTTCACTGGTTTTTCTTCTCTAGAGAACACAGCCCAAGACACTATAGGATTGTTTTTCTTCTACCTGAAGGCTTTCTTTTAGTTTTTCTCTTAGTTTATGTTTGCTAGTGATGAATTCTTTCACTTTTTGTAGGTGAGAAAGTCTGTTTTCCCCAGGTGTAGAATTCTAGTTTGGAAACTTTTCTTTTGGCATTTTAAAATTTCATTCCATTGTCTTCTGGTTTCCATTGTTTTTGCTAAGGAATCAACTGTCAATATTATTGTTGTTCCTTTGAAGTTAATGAGCCCCCACCCCTGGCTATTTTTATGATTTTCTCTTTTTATGATTTTTAGCAGTTTGACTATGATGTGTTCTGGTGTGGTCGTCTTTGTATTTATTCTACTTGGGGTTTTTAGAATTCCTTGAACCTGTGGGTTGATATCTTTCATCAGTTTTAGAAAATTCTGTTATTATTTCTTCCCCATTCTCTTTCTCCTCTCCTGCAATTTTACTTACTGTATTTTTATGCAAATAATGCGTGCCTTCTGCATTTGTTTGCTGGCTGCGCCCTCCCCTCAAAAGGTATTTTCTTAGGCATACTATGATAATTTTTTTAATAGGAACATGTGGAAGAGGGCTGGCATGGTGGTGCTTGTGAAATTGCCTTGTGGGGGGAGGACGCAGCCAGCAAACAAACACAGAGGGCATATGTGATGGTTAAGGTTGTGTGTCAACTTGGCTGGGCATGATTCTCAGTGGTTTGGTAGTTATGATATTGTCTGGCAGCTATGTAATGATGTAATCACCTCCATAAATGAGATCTGATACAATGTAGTCACCTCCATGATGAGATCTGCTATGAATAGCCATTCAGTTGAAAGGGAGTTTCCCTGGAGGTGTGGCCTACATCCAATATCGGTGGACTTTCTGGCAAAGCTCGTGGCTTTTTGCTCGCTCTGGATCCTGCATCTGACCTCCAATTCGTGGGAATTGAGCTAGCAGCTTATTTGCCAATCTTGGGATTTGTCAGCCTCTGCAGCCTGTGAACCAGAGGTCTGCTGTCTGACCTGCCGATCTTGGGTTTGCCAACCCCTGCAGCACATGAGTCAGGAGAAGCCTCGAGCCTGACCCAGGACTTGGAACTTTCCAGCCTCTACAACCGCATGAGCCATTTCCTTGATATAAATCTCTCTCTATATATAAATATGTTTATGCGCTTCACTGGTTTTGCTTCTTTAGAGAACCCAGCCTAAGACAGCGTACATTATTTACATAATGGTACACAAATGCTAGGCCTTTTATTGCTTCCTACATGTTTCTAAGGCTCTCTTCTGTATTTTTCCCATTCTTTTTTCTGTGTGCTTTAGGTTGACTATTTTGTATTGACCTATTCCTCAATTTACCAATCCTGTCTTTTTGCTTGTCCTATCTAGTCTACTTTTAAACACATTTTATGAGTTCTTAATTTTAAATGTTATGTTTCCCAATCCTAAAACAACCATTTGGTTATTTTTAATGGATGCCAGTTCTCTGTTGAAGTTCTCCATATTTTTGTCTGTTTTTTCCTCATATTTTTTATTTCTTTCATTGAACATACCAAGCATAATTTTTAAAAGCCCTTGTTAAGGAGGGGAGGCCAAGAGGGCAGAGTAGTCATATGCTTCCTGTGGTCCCTCTTACAACAAAGACCTGAAAAAACAAGTGAATCAATTATATATGACAATCTAGGAGCCCTGAACATCAAAGGCAAAGTTGAGGAACTGGACTGGGTGGCAGGGGGAGGGAGAGACGGTTTGGAAGCAGCGAGGACTTAACAGACCTGACGGTGGGAGCCGGTGCCCTGTGAGCTGGATCAGCTAGCTTGCACAGTGAGGCAAGCAGTGACACTCAGGACGTTTTCCATGTCGGGAGAGACCAAGCGGTGGAGAGTCTGCACAGGCTTCTAGAGCCAGTGAAAAGCAGTGCTCAATCAGCTAAAGATAAATATGTGCATTTAACCTACCACGCGTATCAAAAAATATTGCATTTGGGAAGAACTTCTCTCCCATTTACCTGCTCCCTTCCCACTCTGCACTGGGTCCCAGGCCAGCTTCAGGGATTGCCACATCCCCTGGGCAGGAAGTAGGACCTGTCACGCGCCCTGAGGCGTTCTCCTGGCCTTGGAGAGAGAACAAAATAAACAGGAAAAAATAATCTGCCAGCTCCCCTAAGCCAGGAACTCAGGGCAGGCACAGCTCCTTTGCCCAGGCACAGACATAAGGGGTCCACAGACTTTGAATGCCTTTCACCCCTGCATAGACCTGTGTGGGCCCATTTCAGCAGTGTAGACCCTCATTAGCACAGTACAACAGGATATATACCTGAAGCCTAACTTCACTGTGTCAGCTACATGGTGGAGAGGCAGGTTCATGATGTTTGATACCACTCTGCCCATTAAGCAGGTTCTCACCCACACCAGGGGCCTGAGGAGTGGTGGCTCCGCCCATGCCACCTAGCCACCTGCCACAGGGGTCCAAGAATAAGTGGTGCTTCCCAGTCCTTACAGCCAACAGCATTGGGTGCCCCTAGTCTGGCTGAAAAACCTACCCACCTACACCCTGTAGGGAAGAGGGACACTCTTTCCCCCCAGACACGCAGGGGCAGTGGCCGTCCGCCCCCTGCCTTGCTCAGTGCGTGACCCCCCCCGCCACTGCTGCCAGATACCTACCTGTGCCTACTCCAGTCACCCCTGCCTAAGACTGTAGGTGAGAGCCTGCACCACACACATGGTGACCGACTACCTGGACACCTGAGCTGAATCCATACAAGAAAAGTAAATGGACTCCTAGGCTTACATACCTAGTAACAGATCTAATTACCTGGTGACAGGACGTTAGAGCTTCAAAGGCGCCAATAATGAAACTAGCTCACACAAGCAGCCTATTTGGGCATATCACAACAAAGCAAAACAAGAAGCTAGGACACAGTAAGCAAACATAAAATAAATATAATAACTTATTGGTGACTCGGTGTCTTAGTCATCTAGTGCTGCTGTAACAGAAATACCACAAGTAGATGGCTTTTAACAAAGAGAAATTTATTCTCTCACAGTCTAGTAGGCTCCAAGTCCAAATTCAAGGGGGAGTCTTTCTCTCTCTGTTGGCTCTGGAGAAAAGTCCGTGTCATCAATCTTCCCCTGGTCTAGGAGCTTCTTTGCTCAGGAACCTCAGGTCCAAAGGGTGCGCTCTGCTCCTGGTACTGCTTTCTTGGTGGTATGAGGTCCCCTTGTCTTTCTGCTCACTTCTCTCTTTTGTATCTCAAAAGAGATTGGCATAAGACACTAATCTTGTAGACCTCATCAGTATAACTGCCGCTAATCCATCTTATTACATCATAGTGATAGAGTTTACAACATATAAGGATATCACATCAGATTACAAAATGGTACACAATCATACAATACTGGGAATCATGACCCAGCCAAGTTGACAGATATTTTTGGGGGACACAATTCAATCCATGACACTCGAAGACAATCAATGACAACAGTCAGTATCAAATCACATAAAGAGGCAGACCATGATGGTTTCAGCAAGCTCCCAAAGCAAAGAATCAAGAAATTTTCCAGATGAAGAGAATTTCTTGGAATTACCAGAGGCAGAATACAAAAGACTAATATACAGAACTCTTCAAGAGATCAGGAAGGAGATCATGCAAAACGCAGAACTTCCAAGGAACATATAGACAAAGCAATAGAGGAACTTAAGAAGATTAGAGAAGAGCATAATGACAAATTTAACAGGCTGCAAGAATCCATAGAGAGACAGCAATCAGAAATCCAGAAGATTAACAATAAAATTTCAGAATTAGACAACTCAATAGAAAGTCATAGGAGCAAAATTGAGGGAGTCAGAATTAGTGAGATTGAAGATAAAGCACTTGACACCAACTTATTTGAGGAAAAATCAGATAAAAGAATTTTAAAAAATCAAGAAACCCTAAGAACTATGTGGGACTCTATCAAGAGAAATAACCTACGGGTGATTGGAGTAACAGAACGGGGGGGATAACAGAAAATACAGAGAGAATTGTTGAAGATTTGTTGGCAGAAAACTTCCCTGATATAGTGAAAGATGAGAAGATATCTATCCAAGATGCTTATCGAACCCCACACAAGGTAGATCCCAAAAGAAAGTCACCAAGACATATTATAATCAAACTTGCAAAAACCAAAGATAAAGAATTTTAAGAGCAGCTAGGGATAAACGAAAAGTCATCTACAAAGGAGAGTCAATAAGACTAAGCTCCAACTACTCAGCAGAAACCATGCAGGCAAGAAGGCAATGGGATGACATATATAAAGCCTTGAAGGAAAATAACTGCCAGCCAAGAATTATATATCCAGCAAAACTGTCTCTCAAATATGATGGCAAAATTAGGGCATTTCCAGATAAACAGAATTTTAGGGAATTTGTAAAAACCAAACCAAAATTTTAAGAAATACTAAAGAGAGCCCTCTGGTTAGAAAATCAATAACATCACATAACAACCCAAGACTAGAACACAGG